AAACAATTTACAAATTAGTTTTTTGACTCATTGACACAGGTTGGGTTCTTCAGATGGAGACTGAGGTAGAGAATGCCTCTTACTTAAGAGGAATTAAATATGTTCATAGCTGACATGAAGGAGAAGGAAGGAAAACTGGTCAAAGGAAGTCAAAGTACAATGCTGGCCAATAAATCTTTGGCCTAGCTAGTACCAGAGCTGCACTGCATGGAGAAGAAATGGCTGGGCCTTTACACACTCGCCTTTGAAAATCACCAGTTACAGCATGCCCAGGCAAGGAAGTAATCACATTCAGGACTGGTCTTTTCAACCGAGACAGATGCTGGAGGAGCTGACAGCTGGAAACATTCTGCTGATAGTATTTCCTGTAGCTGGGCAGCAACTCTTCCTTAAAGGAGGATATGGCCACCATATCTCTGAGTCTATCACAGTCTACAAGAGAATTTTAGTAAAAGCCTGGAAGCAAAGACTCTATTTTCTCTTTCTCTCTCTCTCTCTGACACACACACACATGAACACTGTGTCCAAGGCATCTGTTCTATAGAAATAACCATATGAAGTTGGCAAAGATTTATAGATTTCCCACTGCAATTGGTAGTATTAGGTGAACAAAATGAGAAATCAGTCCCTGCCCTCAAGGAAACTAGCTGCCCATTCATCTTATACAGGTGTCATGATGACAAATAAGCACAATCATGTTGGCCTTTGAACCCTTTACACTACACCACTCAGTTCGTTGTATTTTCAGTCAGTGAAAATATGATTATTTTACAGTGCTAATTCTTTCTTTTCTTCCAATAAATATTCATTACTAATCATATTCTCCCCATACTCTTTTCCCTCAGCATTGTTGACTTTCTATCTTCTTGCCAGATTTGGAAAGCCTTCCTCAGTCTATTTCTTAAAATTCTAGCCAGAGTACTCAACAATTTTCTGCTGCTAACGTCCTCATCCAAGTAAAGAGGGTAATGAAATAGAAGGAATAGAAAAAAGAATGAAATCAGTCTTCCGAATGTCCCTGACAATGGCTGGATGAAAGCTAGTAACAGATCCAAAGCTTTTAAACAACGATTGCATTTTCAAGAAAGAAGGAACAACTCAAAAGATGAAAAATTCTTACTTAGCAAAGAGCTGCCATGACAAATTAGTTTTTCAATTCCTGAATTATGAAACAGAAATGAGGCATGAGCATCTGTTGGGGATTTATAACTGGGTTTGTATGTGCCAGTGAGAAAGGAGTAAATTACTCACTTGAAGTTGGATGTTAACTCAGAACACTGAAGTTCATTTTCTAAAAATGAGGTCTTTAATAATACACAGTAATAAAAAACATAATAAAACTGCAAAGTGAAAAGTCTATATATTCTTAATTACTAGGTTTTAAAGTCAGAACCCTTTACCATTGAATATTTCTTTATATACATATTGTAAAAATGTCTTTACTGGTTTTAAGAACATTAATATCAAGTGTATAAATGTGTATCTATATGTGTAAAAACATCCCACAATCATCATAACAAAAAAAAAATGCAATGACTAACTAACCAATTAACAAGCATATTTTCCATCAGGGTAGCATATCCTAATAAAGGCACATGCTCATGTGTCTAAAATGTTATTGATTGGACAATAATCTAATAACAGTTCATTCAAATATCTTCACTCCCACCAGTCTTGTCTCATTTGATAAATTCTTACAATTAATAAATAGCAAATACTTAAATGCTTCACTACCATTAATGTGAAAAAAATTATCTAATTACACAGTGGTCTGCACTATAACAAGCTTAAGAATTTGTTCATTTTTTAATTTATTAAGAATGGATGAAGTTCCAAGGTAAAGATGGCAAATTGAAGCTCTACTTCTACTTTGTACTTTGCTCAATCCCCACTCACCATATTTAAGAAGCTCCAAAAATGATGATGGAAAGTTTAACACAGCAAAGCACAACCAACCAACCAAGCAGAATAATAACATGGCAGTACAGAAAGCCTAGAAGCAGCATTGTTTATACACAGAATAACCAAAAGACTCAGGAAATTGGCAGCACCAGGAAGCAGGGATCAACAGAAATTGTGCAGATGTGAGTTTAAAACGTGAAAGACTGGCTGAAAGTCTTTCAAGTAGCTATTTAGAGCCCCCTTTCCCACTCAGCTATACAAATAATTGCCCCTTCCAAACCTGGACAAGATAAAACAGAGGGTGTCTGAACTAGGAACACTAACCAGTTAGAGGAATAATATTCTGAAACAAGAGGATTAAGTGGTATTCTATCCCTCACTCTGCTTACAGAAGACTGGTATTTAGGGCTCTATACTCCAGGAAGGATTTTATAAGAATCTTCACTAGAAATCTTGCAGCACTACAGAAAAAATGGATCCTAAAATCAAGGATTTCTAAACAAATGGCTTAGTCCAATAAAATTGTTTCTATACCAGCTATCTGACCAAAGCCTCTAATATTAAAGACCGAGACTTAAACAAACTGAAAAAAAAAATAATAACTTGGTGAAAACAGAGTCTTACTGTTAGAAAAACTTCAAAAAGACTATTATTAATATTTTTCAGTCAGATAAAAAAAGACATTGCATCCTTGAAACAAAAAAATTTTGGAGTATTTTGATAAAAGGCATCTTAGAAATTAATTTAGTAAAATTAAATATATTAAATTTTAGTAGAATACAGTTTTAGTATCCCTACTCCAAAATGCTTGTTAGAAATGTTTCAGATTTCAGATTGTTTTCATATTTTGGTGTATCGATATATGCATAATAAATCATCTTGGGAATGTGACACAACTCTAAATCCAAAATTCATTTATGCTTAGATATGCCATTACACATAGCCTGGAGGTACTTTCATACAATATTTTTCCACTGCAGCATTTTCACTATGATCCATCACATGATATCAGATGCAGAATTTTCCACTCATGGCATCATGATGGCACTCAAAAAGTTTTAGATGTGGAACCTTTTGGATTTGAGTTTGTTTATTTTTTAAGGTTTTTGCTATAGGGCGAGTGCACTCACCAGAAAGACAGAGAGAGATAGACAAAGCAAGAAATCACCCCTCGGGGGATGGCCACGCTGCAAACCCTTCTCCTCCCATTCTCCTCTTGGGATCTTGGGCACGTACGCACACGTGCCCAGCGTGAGTTTAAGCCACTGGGTCTGGGACTCGAACCACAGTCAACTACATGGGAGTCCAGTGACATAGCCATAACCCCAACTGCTGGTCCAGGATTTGAGCTTTTAAATAAGGAAAATTGATTCAACCTATAGGTAAAAGAAACGTTGAGAAAATATCTTTCAATGTTGAGCTAAAGAAAAATGAATTAAAGAATCAGAGAGAAAAGAAAATGAGGTGAGCAATCCATGATGTTCCATATTTGAATAATAAGAGATCCAAAAGTAGAAAAAAAATCAAAGGGAAAAAATTATAACAAAATAATTAAAGACAATTTTTTAAATAGAAGGACAATATGCACTTTAAGAGATGCTCAATTTCATTAGTCATGAGGAAAATGCAAACCAAAATGACAGTTGGATACCATTAAACACCCACTATAATGAAAAAGACAGACAATAACAAACACTAGTGAGGGTATGAAAAAATTGAAAACCCTTCCCCACATACACAAGCACACACATATTGTTGGTTAGAATGAAAAAGGCACATTTATCCTAAAAAATAGTTTTGTAATCTCTCTAAAAACTTAAAAGAGTTATGAAATGGATCCACCATTCCACCTATAGGTATATACTCCAAATAATTCACCAAAAGTACTCAAAACAGATGCCTGTACACAACCGCTCATAACAACACTGTTCATAATAGTCAAAAGGTGAAAACCCCAGATGGACATTCACTGATGAATGGATAACAAAATATGGAATTCTATATCATGGACAAAGGGACTGTGGCGTGGCCATTTCTCACTTTCTCGCTCTTAGTTACTCTGTCTCTTTTTGGTAAACAAATGTGCCCTAAGGTGGGGTGGAGGGGAGACTAAAAGAATAAGTAGAAAGTTGAAAGTAAAAATTGCTGTTTCTCTTAACAAACTAGAACTAATTCTTTAACTTGCATAACTTTAATGCATAACTTGCATAAAAACAATTACATCAATAAAAATGAATGACTTTATCTAGAGTTAATGTTCCTTTATCAAAACACAGAATGCACATTAAACTAAAATATTGCATGATGTTAACAAAGTACTCATGAAATGCAAGAAATAAGTATAATAAATTAAGAAGAAAAAGAAAAGAAAATGATCAATATATAATAAGGATTTATTTTAAATTACTAGTCTGAAAATTAGTGAAAAGTTATAGCTACTGCATTTTGTATGATACATAACAATATATACTTTCTTACTTCCAGTTGAATTTGCTAACAATTCTTTCAAATTGCTTAATGGTCTATTCAAACTTAATGTGAAGGTAATTGGAATTATTGATCATCTTCCTCCTGATCTTAGGTACTTTCATCACATGGCAAATTTTGTTCCTCAACTGGAGCTTTTCTTTTATTTCACCCAGCTGATCATTATTATTTTTTTTTAATTTTTAAAATTTTAAAACCTTTTTTCACTTCATTTTCTTTTATACATTCAATCACATTATTATTTGTCTTACAAACTGGATATTTCAACAGGTGAACATTTCTCCCTAGTAGAGTTGATGAAACTACTAAATATCTTCAACGGATAATACCACACCTCAATCTTCTTACATTTAGTATATCACTCTCTTGCCTCTGCCCATCCCCTGAAACAAGCACAGTTTTTCAAAATTATTGTTCTCTTATCTTTAAAAAAGGCAATAATTCTGTATAAGAAAGTTAACATGAGAAATATGTTATTTTCTCTCCAAAGGAATTCTCTTTTTATTGTTCTTATCTTCCCTATGATTTCTCTACCATTAAGTGCCTGTAGTTTAAATGGTCAAATTCTAAAATAAAGTGAAAGAAAATAATTAAAATTAAAAAAACACATAGTGCTTACTTTTATAGCACATTTACTAAAATTAGAATGATACAGAGATTTGCATGACCCCTAAACAAGAATGACATACAAATTCACGAAGCTTCCATGTTTAAAAAAGAAAACAACAACACAGAGGCATAGTGTATTCTCGTTGAAACTGTCTCATTTAGGGCCAGCTGATGGTGTGGTGGTTAAGGCAGTGGGATCCCACATGGTCAACTGTGCCTTTTGAGTATTGAACTGGCAGCTTGAAAAACATGCCAGCTGTGTGTACATGCATGTCCAATCCGGAAAGGAGAATGGAGAAGGGACTACACTATACCCCTGCAAGGTGCTTTCTCACTTTCTCTCTCTTTGGTGAGCAGACATGCCTTATAGCAAATTAAACAAAACGAAACTGATCTATATAGAAATGTACTCAAAACTAAGTGTTTTGTGAATAATCAGGCATTTCTCATAGCAACACTTAGAGATAAGACACACTTCCATCTTAGAATGTGTGAATTAAAATATTGAATTGTGATTAGGAGTACTTAGTAAGGATGGCAACTTCATGAAATAAAAGTAGAATATAAAGAGGATAGCTAAACCAGAAACCGACTTCTTGTATTTCAAGTAACATAGACCAAAATTTATTTTAGAATCTGGTCACATACCCATTTCATACAAGTTCTTATCTAAATTCTTATCTCAGACCTATATAAAATATAAGCAGCTGGGGGGAAAATTCACTCACTCTTCAGAGTTAGTGAATCCAGAAAATTGGTTAAAGTAAAAAATCATTCCAAAGATAAGATGTACCTAAAATATTTTAGTATAAAATATATAAATAAATACTTTTCAAAAAAAAAAAAAGAGGATAGCTAATGATGTAAACAGGAAGGAAAGGATAAAAAAACCTTAACGTTGAGCATCCAATAGGAAAGTGAACAAAGTGTTGAAAATGAATAAAGTAAATCATGATTTCTTTTCAGATTAAAAAAAAAAGCCATTAAAGCAAAGAACAGAAAATAAATTGATCGACTTGTTCTACCAATTAGGGGAAATGAGGAGTTCATAAGAAAGCACTATTGAAAGATAACTTGTTTCCATTTCATTTCTTCTTATGATTCAGAATTTTTCTAGCTTACACTGCCTGCACACTTTGTCACCCACAACATTTGCATCTGTTCATATTTGTTACTTGGTTTAGAAGGTCATTTCCCTTCGAAATACAGAATCATAAACAATACACTCCTCTTCATATATTAAACAACATCCTTAAGACTCTAAAGAAAAGTCTAAGTCAAATCTAGGTTTCCTATACTTTTACTATACACAAATATGCTCTGTCCCATTGCACATGAAAATCTATGACAGCAACTTGCAATGTAAATGACTTGTAGAGGTTAACTAGCTTAAGATCATAGTCGTCTACAGGACTTCAATCTCTTGACATTCACGCCTCTAGAATCTAAAAATACTCTCTGATATAGAGAAAGCAGCCCATGCATGTTGGAGGGGGAAAAAAACGAATGCATGAATGAACAATTAAGCAATGACTATAAAGTGTGTTTCTGTTTCCAAAAATTAGGCCAAACAGGACAAGTTTATGTAACAGTTTCAAAACCTGGGCACTCTTTCATTATGTAAAGTTGGAGTTAGTGGATTCACCCTTGACACAGGAGAAATTACAGTCACTGGAAAGGGCATGAATGGAATTTGCTGGTCTGCAAAATGGACAGATCTCCTACCTTCTACATGGTTTCCACTGGGACTATATAAAATAACAAATCCAAACCACATATTTCAATGCATATATGTGTGTGGGTGTGTGTACACATACGTATACACACACCCCCCCACACACACACACGTCTCTGTCTCTCCAGTGAGCATACATACCCTGCAGGAAAATAACTCAAATACACACACACACACAGAAAGAGACAAAGAGAAGAAGAGCGAAAAATCACCCCCACAATCTCTTTTTCCCTATTCTTCTCTTGGGATCTTGGGCATGCATGCACATGTGCCCTGTGTGAGTTTCAAGCCACCAGGTCCAGGACTTGAACCTTTGTTGGCCATATGGGAGTCTAGCACCTTATCCACTATACCACCTGCTGGCCTCCTCCAAAATAGGATTTTAACATGTAAATTTTATTTCTGCTCTGCCTTTAAAGGTCTCCAAAGAGTCCCTGCCAGGCTAGCCACTATGGCACAGTTGTAATGTGCTGCTCCACAAGGCTGGAGCCAAGTGAAGACCGAGATTCAGTTCCTGGGTTGACTTGTACATGGTGTGAGATGCTGTTGATGGTACTTGTCTTTTTCTTTTTCTCTTACTCATTTTCTCCCTTTCTCTCATGTAAACAATAAATAAGTAAACTTTTTTAAAAAGAGACTCTACCATAAGTTCACTGAATCAAGAAATTACATTGTTTTACATAAAAAATTAAAAATTATTAGTACTGGGGACCAGCAGTTAGTGTAATGGCTATGTCACTGGACTCCCATGTAGTCGACCACGGTTCGCGTCCCGGACCCGGTGGCTTAAACTCACGCCGGGTGTGTGTGCATGTGTGCCCAAGATCCCGAGAGGAGAATGGAGGAGAAGGGATTGTGGCGTGGCCATCCCCCCTGGGGGGTGATTTCTCACTTTCTATCTCTCTGTCTCTCTCTGTCTTTCTGGTGAGCGCACGCGCCCTATAGCAAAAACCTCTCCAAAAAAAAAAAAAAAAGGAAAAAAAAATCATTAGTACTTAATGTCTAGAAATCTAGTCTTAAATTTCACTAATGTTCTATTTTAAGCTTATATGCCTATAGAGTCACAGAGTTGTTGCCATCCCTTTTTAAAAACCCACATTAATTTTGCCCATCTGCAGTCCTTTTTTAAAAAAGAATTGTTTTATTTAATGTTATTCATTGTCATTATTTTTATTTATTTCTTTATTTTTGAAGTTGCCCAGAGAGACAGAGAGAGAGAAGGAAAGTGAGAGAGCAAGATGCCAGATCCAGGACTCAAACTGCAGTCAGCCATGTTGTAGTCCAGCCCCCTTAACCACCATGCCATCTGTCACCCCCCCACACACACACCTGCATTCTTGATGCTTTCTCTAAGCTCATACACAATGTTTCCATAAAGATTTCATCTGCAATTCTTTCCACATTCTACAGGTAATATCTGGGATTAGATAATGAACTTATTCTGGTGATGTTCATGAGGTGGCTTAAGGGTGGGGAGATGGAGAAGTATAGGAAACCAAAGGAAGCATGCTCTAGATCTGAATGTATTCCCTATGTTAGGAAAATTCCCTGCTTTATCATCTTGATGAGAAACAGGACCCACATTCTTCTGTCATTACAACATTCAAAATGCTAGACATCACTTTCTTCGAGTCCTGTGTAGTCAATACATGGGTATGTGAACTTCGTCTCAGCCAACCAAACACCACAAATCCTGGCTGAACACTAGGAGTTAACACAAATAAACAATGAGAATGAAGAGCCATTTCGACATCAGCAGAGCATCCAGAAATCCAGAGCAGTCAGACCAGCAAATTAAGAGACAGTGCCAATACCCTGGTGGCAGCAGGGAACTTAATGGACAGTTCCATGACATGATTTTGGCTCTGCTTCTGCCTATCTGGCCTCACATTATTCCGTTCATTTTAAGTCTCCCCAGCCAGTCTGTCAGCCATGGGATATTCTTTCAATAAACTGTACTGATCAAGTATGCTAAGGAGAATTTCTGTTGTGTGGAAAACTCTAACTAGTACATTCATTCACAACAGACAGATACTTTAATTCCTTTGACACGACTAGCTGGTCTCTGACTACTGCATGTCAGAGACACGCTCTAACTGCTATGGAGTCTGATTTGTTCTAAATCTTCTGCTTGGGAGAATATTTGATTTGATAGAAAAAATAAAGACCATCAGCATAAAATATAGATAAAATAGTAGGAAAATCAACACTAGGAATCTTAAATGAGTTAAGTCATTCTGCTTTCTCTTGGCTTCTTGCCTGAAGTA